AAATTATAATATTTTATTTTATTTTATTTTTCTTTAGATTATTTAATTGAATAGAAAGTCAAACCCTCCCCTTCTCTTGCTTTGATCTATCAAAAGCAAGGTGAATGCTAATCCCTTCACTCTCCTTTAAAAAATCCTCCCACCCCCCCCCACCCCTCCCACTTACTCTCCAAAACAATATTGACTTATCCAAACAGACCGTTGTAGGTATGATTTTGCTTCTCTTTATTACTTTCATTATTGTTTATTTTACTTAATTTTTGTAATTTTTCCAGTTTTCATGATTTCATCTTAGATTTTTTTTTTTGGCCAACCACAATAGAAGTTTTCATCTGAGACTAACATACCAAATTGCATAAATCTTAGATTCATTAGTCTTCGAAGGAGATGGGATAAACTCTAAAACTAAAGATTTGTCTTTGGTCTCAGAGAGTTCTCAATGATTGGTCTTCTGCATTTTTCACAATCTTCAAGCTGTTACCAGATCAGCTTGATGTACATTCAAAGGCAGCTGCTGCTACATCTAATTTGGACAAATCAGTATCCATAGATGAATATCTTGATGGTTATTTAGTGGAAAGGAGAAGTCAACGTGTAAAGAAAATCGAGGTAATCGAGGTTGGAATGCAGGAGATCAGAACATATTTCAGGCTCTTCTTACTGTCCTCGGTGCTTTTACTTTTCATGTTCTGCTCTAGAATCTCAAAGGGAAGTAGACAAATTGTTTCCCCTATGTCCCTTTGACATTTAAAACACTTAGGGCAGTTTTTTCTATTTATTCTTTTTTCTTTTTTTTTGGGATAATTGTAGCAAGAAAGTTAAATTCTAAATTCTTTGGGATGATATGTATTATGAATAGAAAACACTAATTTTTGTACTGTGGTTGGCTTCTTCATTCTTCTTAGTTGATACACAAGTTTTTGCCTACTCTCTCTGTATTTAAATTAGGTACGTGAGATCAGTAGATCTACACCCTGACTCGATTAATCACACTAGGCTACTATTGAACAGAGATTGAGAAACAATTAAAGAGACAGAAATCTGATGTTTTCTTTGGCTAAATATCTTGTGTGTCAGACAACATAGAACATGAACTGCTAGTAATTTATAGTATTCTGTGGAATGCACGAGTATGATGTGAATATACAGGCAGCAAATGAATTTTTTCTATTTGGAGATTGTCAAAGAATTGTGACATACCCCACTGAGATAGGGGAAGGCTTCATGATATCTGTCCCAACATGTCACTTGAGCTTTGATTTCTGTTCCTGTTTCTTGTTGAGTTTAATCACTCTCCAAAGGTGCAAGTTTGAACTGGTGTTCCAAAGTGGTCGGCCCCTGCAAAACAATCTCCATCCAATAAGGGTTCAAATAACTTGATTATGAAGAGTTAAAATTATCCATGTCCTTCAGCTCACAAACTTGATCTCAAAACCTTCGAGATTAAGATGGTTGCATGCAAAACTGAACTGAAATTTTCAATCAAATGAAAAGTTCGTGCATGAGATCAGTGAAAGACAATGGCTGCTAACCTCAAATTGACAACTCAGACATGACAATCTATCCAGTAACTTTTGCTTTGACTGCATGAATCTTGCTTTCTTCAACTATGATTTTAGAGACCGCTTCATGTATTTTAGAGCAGATCGCAACATTTCTCTGGCTTTTCTATCTGGAGTGCAACCAGATAATATCATCTCTTCATAGACAGCAGGAACCTGAAATCCAAACCATATAAAATGTGTATTTTTATGCATGATAGCTGATGAGACTACATAACAAGAGCTACGGCACAACAGCATCTGTCTCTATGCAACAATTAGCTGATTGACGGTAGTAAAGAGGTTAATGGTAAGATTTTAAGGGAATGAGTGGCTCCTTCAAGTTTTTTCTATCTTGAGCCTTGCGGTTGACTCTGTGATCCCAAGATTCTAAAAGTTTTACATTATATTAACTACGATGGTGTTAGCCAAATGTCCTAAAAGATACAGACTGAAAACAAAATGTTTACAACAAGCAGATGCTACAGAAACTGCACAAAACAACCATCCAGAGAAAATGAGGAGACAAGATTATCAGTGATACAAGGCAGTTGAGGACCTTCATATAATTTAATACCTTATGAAACTTGTCAACACGAATTAGAGCTTTCATAAGTGTGGTGTATGTAACTACATCTGGCTTCAAGTCCTGTATGTGAATTGAACCAAATGGAGAAAGGTGTAAGATAGAAAACCAAATTCCCATGTTTCAACATCAACCTAAAAACAAACAAAATTAACTTCAAGGACAGGAAGAGAAAAGGCACAGCATGAAGTAACTTACATTTTCCTTCATGTATTGCAACACAGCAAAAGCCTCAGCATCTCTTTGATCCTCACCAAAGGCATTTATTAATGAATTAAGAGCTAAGAGACTTGGCCTTAAGCCATCTGCCCTCATAGCCCTAAATGCATTTATTGCTTCCTCAGATAAACCCTGTTCAGAAGTCAAATTGGAGGAATATGAATCCACTCCCAGAACATTTTATCCAAGAAGCCAAGAATGTAATTGATCCAGCCCTGCCCAACTTTCTCAACTTTGCAGGAATTATCCAAAAGAATTTCCAAGAGGTAAGCTGATGATTATGATGATTTAAATTGTCAACAAGATAGCTAAGTTTCCAGCCAAACTGTTCCATTTATTTATTTTCTCCTTTGGTAACTCCATTCCATTCTACAACACCTGTTCAATACTACTACAAGACTAAAGAGAAATTTTACAGGCTACAATGCTGAGATAAAAGGCATGTGCTGGACAAGTTCCTAATGTGATGTGTAAATGGGAGACTGTGACTAAAAATGAGATTTACTTAAGATTTGAAGCATTAGAGCATCAACTTAATAGCAACATACCTTTTGTGCATAGGCATTGATTAAAGCATTATACATGGTTGAAGAAGGTTCCAATCCAGCAGATTTCATGGCCTCCAAACACTCTATTGCATCATTAAATCTGCCTGACTGTCCATAAATATCAACTAGTGTTGTATATGTCACAACATTAGGCAACAACCCCTGACTCTGCATCCTCCTCAACAGGCTTTTGACATCTTCCCATCTCTCCTGCTCTCCAAATGAATTGATCATAATATTATATGTCATGGCACAAGGTTGGTACCCTTTGCCGCACATCTGATCAAACAACATCTCTGCAGTGTCGTGATGCCCTGCCTTACAATGACAATCTATTAGGGTATTCCAGGTAACTATATCCGGCTCAATCCCCTCCAATAGCATCTGATCAAATGTAGTCATGGCATTTTCAAGACAATCATACTTCCCAAAAGTATCAATCATCACATTGTAAAAATGCCTATCTGGTTTGATTCCACTACTCTTCATCTCCTTCAAAACCTGAAATGATCTTTGCCACTCCCCTTGATCACGATAACCAGCTAAAATCCTACTATAAACAAATGAATTCGGCTGCACATTGCTTGCTTCCATCTCTTTCAAAACAATTCTTGCACTCTCCCATCTACCAGCATTTACATAGGCATCAATAAGAAAAATATATGTCTGCTCATTGGGTAAAACTCCACTCCTCTCCATTTGTGACACAGTTGACTCAGCATCTTTCAAAGAGCCCACTTTTGCATACCCTTTAAGAAGAGCATTGTAAGCTCTTGTTCTTGGTTTCAATCCACGTTCTTTCATTTCCTCAAAAAGAGCCTCAGCCTCCACAATTCTACCATTATTTCCCAAAGAGTATATAACAGACACTACAGTGGACGTTTTCAGGCTCAACCCCATCGCTTCAGCCATGGCAATAAACTTCAGAGCCCGACTGGGATCATTGGCTTTAGCAAAACCCTCTATTATATCATTGAAAAGCCGCCCATCAGCTTCAATCTTGTCAGACTCAATCTCCCCGTAAAGCTTCTGTAAAAGAGCTGAATCGATATTGTTATTCCTAATAAGGGACTGAATTATCAAACTATAATTCACAAAATCAGATGGATACCCATCTTGGCGCATTCTTGACATCAAACTGAGCGCCTTTTCGAGATCATTGTTCCGCGCGCAGGCGTTGATTAAGGCGTTGTATGTCAATGGGGTAAGGGTTTGTTTCTGAGCCAGCAAAAAAGCTTCATATAATTTCTCTGAACGCCCCAGCGCATGGATTAGGATGGAGTACAGAAGCTCGTAGGAGAAGCAAAGCTTGTGTCTTTGAAGCCAGGAAACAACGGCGTACGCTAGGTGAATTGAGTCGTTGTCGGCGGATGAGGAAGAGGAGGCGGAGCAGAGGGATTTTAAGAGAGAGTGCCATAGTGGGGCGGGGACGGCGCGGTAAGACTCCGCGAGTTGGAACTCGGCAGTGTCGAGTGAGGTGGGTGAAGCTGAGTTAGAATCCGAGTCAGAGGACGAAGCTGAGTTAGAGAGGAAGTTGAGGAGTGGGGTGAAGTCGTAGCGGCGTCTATGGAGAGAAAGAATATCAGTTGCATCATCTTCTTCATCTTCGGTTCTGTACGAGAGAGTGAGAGAGGTTTCGGCAGAGGTGGTGGTGGTGGTGGAGAGGGGTGGTGGGAGGGAGACGTGGAGACGGGCGAGTGGAAAAGAGGGGTGAACTGAGGGGAAGCGAGTTGGGAGAGGAGATGGCAGCACCAACATGTTATAGATTTCTTTGGGTAGGATTTGTTTTGTGAGGAAATCAGAAAAGGGAAGGAAAATTTTTTTTCGGTTTTTTGCTGCAAAGTTCGTGGTGGTGCGGGCGAATGGTGGCCGGTGACTGGAGATGGAGGAGGGGGGAGATTTTTATCTTTATTTTTTTATACACTAATAGATAAACGGAAAGAAATGGATAGAATCCAAATTTGAGGCTTCAAACTTTTAACTTATTATCAATTAAGTTTAATCAATTAAATAATTTAAAGGTCTCTTTGGGAACTTGATTTTGATACAATAGATTTGACTTTTAACTCTTCAAATTTAATATCACTGTTTTTTTTCACATAAATAAAATGTAATTAAATTTAAGTGAAAAACATGTATTTCACTCCGAGTAATTCAAAGAGGTAAAAATTGTATATTTCAATTTCATGTTTAAACCCATGAATTTTAATTTCAAAATAAATTTTTTCTACACTCTCTCTGCTCACCGACAGCAATGAAGCCTCTATCATCTGTTCATCATCAACTTTACCACTATTCTCTCACCTTCTTATTGGTGGTCACTCAAACCATTCCACGATCGAGTGCATCTGCCCCTAAGTTTTCATCATCTCTCTCAACAGCAGGTTTTCAATCTAAACTCTAATCTTTTTATTGGGTTTTCCTTCTTTCAATTTGTCTTCTATTGATTTGTTGTTTGTTGTTTGTTGTTCTTGTTATTTTGTCATTCTCCCTGAGTGATTTGCTTTCATGGGAAGTTGCAATCTTTTGGATTTAAACCTAGTAGTTTTGTGCTTAGAGCTTTATCTCCTTACCTTTTTCTTTCCTTAATATTCTTTCTTTTTCTTGCATAATTTGCTAGCAAAATCAACCCCCCTTTTGATAGATTACAGATTAGTTTGAGCTTTCTATAGTTTTATTTTGCTGATAAAAGCCTCATTTTTGGTAGATTACAGATTAGTGTAGCTAAAAATTTTGTTGGCTGTGGACTTCTTTTTGTGGCTTGTGTTTCCTTGGAAGAAATTGAAGGTATGTGTTGCTCCTACATTTTCAAATTTTGTTTCGTTGTTGAGAAATTTTGAGTAAAGATATAAATTTACTAGTAGCTTCAATTTATGTTGCATTTTTTTAGTGTGTCTAATGAGGTGACAAGCTTCTGGGTTTGTCCACACTAGAGAGTAAAGATGGCAAGCTCATTTTGTCATTTGGTAGAAATTAAGTAGAAGCTTTTTGAAGTTTATAAGCTTTTGAAGTTTGTAAGCCTTTGAAGTTTGTAAGCTTTTGAAGCTCATTTTACATATTATGTAGTTTGCACTAGATAAAGAATCATGTACCTTTTATCTGTTATTTCAACTTAGGAAGTTAACCCCTTTGAAG